TAAACCATATGATGATTTCGTTATATTCCAAAAGCTAGGATGATATCTTAAAATTGAGCTCTACAATTTATTCTAAAAAATAATTTTCTTTTTTCCTGTACCATAGGNTTTGATTATAGATACAGAGTCAGTTTACGTTTTTACTGGAAATGCTATTTGAGACAGGGAATGATAAAGTTGAAGAGACTATCAACAAGATTATGTATACAAATAGATAACAATATAGGAGGCAATAGACAGCCTTGTCTTATACAATATCTAATCAAATTTTCATTTCATAAATACATTATTCAAATGTGCCATTTTGTTTAAAATAGACTTTATAACAAACAATTCCAGTTACAAAAATCTCGTCCAAATCATGACTAAATCGGGAGTAATAAATGTATAGTGGTGGACTCCTCAACGAGAAGTACCATCAGGTGTTTCTAAAAGAGAAAGCATGGTCTGCTTCATGCACGACATTTCAGTTTAAAATAAACTTTATGACACAGGCATCTGTTTCTATCAATAGTCGACCATCTCTATAATAGTGTATATACTACTATAGAGATTTGATAGAAACAGATGCCTGTGCTTCATGACATATAACATTACAAGAAATGTTCCACAAAGTACCAATGCATCAATTACAGAGCAATATAGAAGTAATAAGACTGAATCTGAACCATATTGGCATCATTAAAAGAGCTAGAGGTACAATATTAAGATGTCTATTTACAATGAATAGAAAATTTGATTGTGGTTTACATACAGTTACATAGACTTTAAAAAATACAGTAATCTCATGACTGGAGCACTTTAATCAACTTACGTTATGCCACTAAACACAACAAAAGATCTTTCTGTTACTTTCCGTGTTGTTTTTTAAAGATTACTACACTTACTATCTTGGAAAATTCAGAAAGTAATATTTATAAGCTAACAATAGTACAGTTGTGAACATCTAAAGAATACAATTTCATTGAAACTTTGTCAAGTGAAACCTAGCAATAAGACACAGAATGGTAGACTGAAACAGTCTGGATGATAACATACAAATATTTCATTTATAACAATGAGAAGGAGAAGAGACTTGATAATCAAGAGTAGGATAGAGAAAAATATACACTAATTATCCAGTAAAATCTAGGTACAAAAAAGAGGTTTAAAAACTGTCTCTGCTTTTGTTCATT